CGGGCACCTGGACCACGTAGCGCTTTTCACTGAACTGAGGAGCGTTATCGTTATCATCTTCTACCACAATGTGAACAGTAGCTGTGGCGCTGCGGGGCCCGGGGTCACGACCTTGGTCATTCGCCTCAACTAACAGCATATAGGCTTCCACCTCTTCTCTGTCCACCAGCCCCTTGGTGCGAATTACGCCAGACCTGGAATCAATCTCAAAGACATCATTGGACCCATTATTGTTGAGGATGTTATATAGGATGTTCCCATTAATGGGGGCATCTCCGTCTGTCGCCCTCACTGTTAACACCTCATACCCTATTTCTAGGTTCTCCCTGATACTTTCCTTATAGTCCTGTTGCTCAAACACAGGGCTGTGATCGTTAGTGTCCCTGACTGTGATAGTGAGTGTGGCCATGGCTGTGCGCCGGGGTGTGCCGTGGTCCACTGCGGTCACACGAAACACATGGGTGTCTTTTGTTTCCCGGTCCAGCACTTCTACTGTAGACACAGCACCACTGGACGGGTCCACAGCAAAAAGATGGTTCGAGCGGCTGTCAAAGAGAGCTTCAATAAAATACTCCAGCCTGCCTGCCTCGCCTTCATCCACATCCACTGCTTTCAAAACAACAACAGGAGTCCCGGCGGGCTTATTCTCTGCCACAGACACTTGATACATTGGTGGTTGAAACTGGGGGCTGCTGTTGATGCTTCTTCTACTCCTGCTTAAAATCCCTGAATCAGACTGAGCTGCCCTTTGTAACAGCTTCTCTATGTGACCCTGCCTAAAGGGGCCCTCTCCCACACGCCAGTGGATGGAGATGGGACTGACTTGAACATTCAGCCCACTACCTGTGAGTACATCACAGAGGACGTCCAGCTCCAGGAGAGTGTCCTGCCTCCAGCACAGCTTCTCAGACACAAACAAGTTCCCGTCGTTGAAATAAAACTCACGGCTGTTGGTGACTTTGCAGCGGATCGGAGGGCCAGGCAGTAGACCTCCCACTGGGAATAGAGCAGAATCTGCTCGGTGGCACTCTAAGCTGTGATGGCTGTGGGTACTGAACAAAGTGAGGACCTCCATGTCCCACTGAGGTTTTCTTTTACGCGTGTTTGAACAGTTCCTACCGTGTACATGCACCTGGTACTGGCTGGTGAGGAGGTGCCTGTAGCCGGAGTCCGCGCAGTCCTCCACGGTGTACAAGGTGAAGGGGTTTGAGCGCAGCGATGGGCACTTTATGGAGCCCGAAACAAACACGATGCCCGCTACCGCGTCAGTCTCCAGGAACCCCTCGGTGAATTTTGGAGCCAGCACCTGATCCAGAGTGCACCGCGCGCCCCGCTCCGCGCCGGCCACCACCGCGCTCGCTCCGGCATCCTCACCGATGTGAACAACGTAACAGCGGATCAGTGGGACCAGTTTACAACAGCAGAGTAACAGCAACAAATCCCATTTAACGAAGTGCATCGCTACTCAGTTTGTGCGCCCGTGTGGCGAATTCTGCGGCTCCTAATTTCTTTAAACTTTCCACCGGTAAGTTTCCCTTTGTTGAAGAAGAGCCATGCTCTCAGCGGGCGCACTCCTCTCCGCTCACTCCGGCTGACGTTTTTAAGAGGTTAACCCGCAGTAACCTTGGCCGGAGCTGCACTCACATCCACACAAACGCACACACACACACTCACACACGCCGGCTACAGCAGCAGCAGCAGCAAAACCTCCGCTCCGTCCGCGCAACTCAGCTTCAATGAGAAAAATGGCTCCTTCACCCCCCCCAAGTGTCTCCAGGCTCCTCATTATAATAAACCTGTGTGTGAGAGAGAGAAAGAGAGAGAGAGAGGGAGAGAGAAGCTCTATAGGGGTCTGAGGACTTGACAGAAAGCCTGCCACTGGAGATAAATGGAAACTTCCCATAAGCGTCATTAATTAACGCAGAACAACAGCAGCAATTCAGAGTCGGATTAAGGAGTTCATTAGACAACATTCAGTTCATTAGTATAGTATTAATGCTGCACTCACTAATAACAATTAAGAAGAACCGTTTTGATCACGCCCAATACCCACCACTCACCTCCGGAATGGTTTGGCTCATTAACCGGTCGGAATTCCTTAAATTGTGGGTTTTGGCTGACCTTGTTTCAACCCAAGATAAGTTGCATTCTCGGGCTCCTGTTAAAAAGAGGAGGATTACATTTCAGCTACATTCAAGTCATCTTTGTTTAGCGGCTGTTTTCTTCAGATCCACTAATTCCCGTGCTTTGTTTTCCCGAAGGCTTCATTCACCTGCTCTTACTTAAAGAGCAGTAAAAGCAACATCCGAGAAACACACGAATCACAAGAGGCATTCGTGCAGATAGGCTCCAGAAGTTAGGAACTTTTCAATTTACTCAAATATTCAGAGCAACACATATTAATCTAAAGCGATGATAACAATATTCAGTTTGGGTGCGGAGCAGCAAGGCGCAACTTTGGACTGAAACTCGGCGCTTCGCTGATGTTCTGAGTGCGCCTGACACCTGCTGGGCAAACTGCAGCCACACAGCCAAGAGAGGATCCTCCTGCAAGCTCGCTCAAAACTGCTCATGTTCATGTCTGCTTGTTGCTTCAGTGAATGAACACGTAAAAAATAAATAAATCCGTTTTGACACAGCAGCATAAATAATGAAATGACAGCATGATGGGAAGCGTCTCAGCACAAAGTCCATGCAATTGTCAGTGCTGAGTTTTCTAAGACCCTTTTGGACTTATTGTAGACAAACAGCAACGAAAATAGTGTTTTATAAAAGATGGCACACTAAATCTAGCCAATTCCATAATCTAAAGATTATGCCCGTTTCAGCTCCGAAGGGAACGGCACCATCACACCTTAATGTCTGTTGACCAGTTGCCCTAACATCTCATGTGGTGAAGTCTTGGTTTCGTATCTCTCTGCAATTTGCATACCAACCAAATCTGACAGCGGATGATGCAGAGCTCATTCCCAGAAGTGAATGTCCTGCGAGGACCAAGCTCTCCTACAGTCCTACAGTGCATTCACCATCTTCAGACTGCTGCTATTGAGGGAGACACTGCAACCGATGACTGAGCAGTCCTCTGTCTTATGTTGATGGGTAGTAGTGGGAAGCATAACCGATGGGCTAAAGGAGGCGTACAGAGCACTAGGGGATGATTTTGTTGGCTAGTCTGAGAGAAATCTAAATGTAAACAACACTAAAGAGATGGTTGTTGTTTTTCAGAAGGAAGAGGGTGGCGGAACACCCATGTCTATCCTGGGACAGGATGTTGATGTTGTGGAGGTGGACAAGTACCTGAGCGACCAGCACAGATGGTGACTAACAGGCTCTGTGTCGTAAGGACAATGACATCCTTCAGTGTGTGCAGCAAAATGTTGGAGAGCTTCATTCACAACTCAGCTGTGGTGGGCTTTCAAAGAGCTGACACAATTAGACTGGTCTGATTGGCTACAAACCTGTCACTTTTGAAGGTGTGGCGGAGACAAGGTCCCTGATCAAGGGGGTATCCATCGTTCCTTTGCATCAAAGGCAGATCCAGGCAGAGGGCTAAAACAATGATTGGGATCAGGAATATGAATCCAACTCATGCTATATTGCACTCAAACTTGACTGCTAATTTTACAAGCTAAACCATTTTAGGCCATCACAAGATCAGATTTTACAGGATGATACTGTATGTTTTTACAGGACAAGGCTGTAAAAACACAATGACACTGCTACAATAAATACTCAAACAGTTTGGTATTATTTTTAGCAGATGAAGTTATACAACTTCAACTATAAGCTACATACCAAAAATCATAAAATGCTTTTAGCCTATCAGTGCAAATAGCTCCTCGATATTCATTAATGATTGCATTAGCAACAATCAAGCTAACTTTACCCCTGTTAGCAGACCTACACTTTCACACACGCGCGCTTTATCTCACGTTGGTGAACACACACTCCGGTGGATACACTGGGGTCCCCAACGACACTTGATACATTTTACACGTAGACTGGAATAGCTGTGAAATCGATCCTCCAACCGCTGTACCACCTGAGCCACAGCCACCCAACCATCACATTCATACAAAGGAATGAAATTAAAACAAGCAAGTAGCTTTTTACAATTTTTATTGTTGCTGGAGGCTCTAATACAATATGAGTCATAAGCTTTACAAAATAAAAACAAACAAAAAAAAAATTACAAAGATTCCCCTCCAAAATGGAAACAAAGGTTTCCACTGTGACACCAAGACAAACTGTGACCCCCAACAAAGACATAATAGGTGAGGATAGAGAAGACGTTAACAGGCTGAACAAAGGGGAAGCAAACTGTCATATTATACAGTGTGTGTGTGTGTGTGTGTGAGGGGAGTTGATTATGACGAGGGTGTACCCGGCGATAATAACAGTCCATCCCTATGTTTGAGAAGTTTTCATTTCCACCCTCTGCAGCTCCACAAAGGCTCTCATGCATGTGGACAGAGTGGAAATAAAGTGTAAAAACGTTCTTGCTCACACAGAAAGGCCGCCCTCGTCTTTGCACCGTTTAGATCGCCCAGAAGAATAACCACTTGATATACATGGACAGTTTTAATTCTATACAAATATATTTGGGTTTGGGTTGGGTGGGTGGGGGGGGGGGGGGGTGTCATAGGAAAAAAAAAAGATAGATGCAATTTGATGAACATAATGACACCACTGCCAAGCCTCCACCACCTACTGCACAGTCTGTGTCCTCATCACAGAGGAAGAGCAGGGCCAGAGTCGCTCGTTACAAATCGACTGAGGACATATCAGCTGTGAGAACATCAGGGATTATTATTAGAGTGACCCTTGAGATTATCATTAACCGTGGTAATACTATCATATTCATAACATGGGAGGGAGGGGGGGGGGGGGGAGAGAGAGAGAGAGAGAGAGGGGCCAAGACAAACAGAGCGTGAGTGAATGGCTTCATGGCAGATGAGATGCATGAAAACAACCAGACAAAAAAAAAGAAAAAAAAAAGCTAAGCATTTCTCCTTTTTTATTTTTCCACAAATAAACAAGAGTGCAGCACTGAAACAGGCATGGAGGAAGAGACATAAAGAAACAGAGAAAAGATGGCAGGGATGAGGCAGAGAGAGAAACAGAGAGACAGAAGAAAACAACAGTAGCATCTCTAGCTGTTATGTTTGCGTTTGAGCGCCTCCATCAGGTCGACCTTCAGAGCATCCTGCTTTGACTTGTCAGCCAGAGTCTGCACACTCCTGTGTGGAGGAGACACCAAAAAACAAGGTGAGAAAAGTCAGTGGGAGCAAAAAAAAAAAAAAAAAATCAAACAAGAAAACATCAAAGGGCTCGAAAAAGTTTCTCCAGTGAGACAGAAACACTCGGGCTGTAGGAAATTTATTAGTAACAATTCAAGTCTTCCTCTCTGTGGGGAGACCTTTTTATGTCTCACCACAGAGAGATTTCATATGGTTATGACAACATGTTAGCTGTTTACACACTGCACACATAACCACCCGTTAAAGTCAGTTGTCGTCATGCAGTTGCAGCTTTATTGTGACCCTGACAAATTTATATTTTACACTCACCGAACACCAAACCTCTTCAACTGCTCTTTAAAGTAAATACCTAAATGAGCCAATCACATCACAGCAAAGTTGGAATATTTTATAAACCCCTGATCTACCTGCACAACCATCTCTAGGGTTTACAGAGAATAATGAAAAACTAAGAGATAAATAAGACAATTCACAGACTGTTTTGAGGTGACAGGAAGACAACAGTAATTCAAATAACTACTCATTATGACCAAAGTATGCAGAGGAGCATCTCGGAACACACCACAGTCTACCCGAGTACTATTACTGGCAAAGTCCATCCCTTTATAACCACAGTGTACCCATCTTCTGGTGGCTGCTTCCAGCAGAATAACACACCATGTTGCAAAGCTCAAATCATCGCACAATACGTACACAGTCACCAGATCTCAATACAATAGAGCTCCTATAGGTCGTGGTGGTCACATCATGTATGTGCAGCCAGCAAATCTGCAGCAACTGTGTGATGCAATCATGTCAACATGGACCATGCCACAAGTCTTCAAGCAAAAAAGTGGTGTCCTACCCAGCAGTAGCAAGGTGCGCCTAATAAAGCCTCCGGGTGAGTGTATGTGAACATATCCACTTATTCTGCCTTCTTCTGAAGATGCCACCCCGTTAATCATCCATTTCCTGTTTTCTTTACAGTGCTGTGCTTTCACACACAGTGTTTTCAGTGCTACACGCTGAGTAAACACGGCATCTTAGAAAAACCTTATTAGGGCAGCAAAGTGCAAAACAACACCCGGGTGAGTCATTTGAATACTCTGACTTGGTTAGTATGCTACTCTGTCAGAAATCAGCTGTTGAACACAAAGATAAACAAAACTTGCAATACAGCCTTTTGATCTTCAACACTACACGATCATTCAAACTTCTAACAGTGCACATACGTAAACAATTTGAGGGGGGAAAAGGTGCTTTCATTTTTTTTCTGTACATATCTTCATTTCCCTTTGAATGTCAGCCTTCACTCTTAACAGCCTGTTCCTGTTTTTACATTTGCTGCTCTACTTCCCCATGAAACCTCTTTCACTGCTGTTCCATCCGATCAAAGACTAACTCTCCCAGCAAATAATGATTAACAGAAACTGTAAGGATCAATTGTCAGTGTTATTGAGGTTATGGCATAAACCTTAAGACAAAGATAGACACACCCACAAAGACAAACTTCTCCATGCTAGGTTGTACCTTTGACCCCTTCTCAATGGAGGTCTGTCGCTGGGTGAGCACCTGTGACAGCTCCTTTTGGAGCTGCCAGTACTTTTGATTGTCACGCAAAGACTCAATAGATCTGGAGCACAGAGGGGAGAGGCAGCAAGGGAGGAGAGGTGACAGAGGGATTAAAGAGGAGGAGAGACACTGATAGTGGAAATGTGGTACAAAGGGCAGCAACAAAAAAGAAGGACAGGAGCAGTTGAGGAAAGGACTGAAATGTTCGAAGCAGTTGTGACAGAACTGTATTGAGTGACTGTGTTTTTTAACACCATCTCCACGGTGACGCCGTTTAAGTTTAGTACTAATTCAGGACAATGCACAACAAAAACAGTTTATGAAAAAACGCTATGTTGATTCCACATATTTTGTGGACTTGAATGTCGCCTACTTTGTAGACAGGCTACTGTAAGCACCATGTTGTTGTGGAAAATGATTAATCTACTGTGAAATGAACTGAAAGCATGTACCACGTAGCCAATGTTTGTGGATTATGAAGAATCGATTTGAAGAATGAAGAACAAGATTTGTTTTGCAGCCGTTTTTTGCGGCCAATAAACAAATGGATCTTGTGTCCTTGGAATAACTGCATCAGCGAGGAATCTTTTGTGGCACCAGCAGTTCCTCTGTGGGCACCGAGAGTTTCACTAACCTGGCTGTCAAAAGGTCTCTACAATCTGTTGAGTCCTGAGCTGCATCAGCTGCTAATGATGATGGCTTAAAAACGTTCAAGGAGTTTGTGACGTAATCGGGTTTGTTCTACACACGGTCAAACCCGCAAGCAGCAGGCAAACGGCTGATTTACACTTGTGCAGTGAATCTTTGCCTACAACATCACGATTGGCCTTCATTCTAGTGTGTTTTGCGAATTACCTTGTGGTCATGTCCAAGTGTTTTATGCGATAGTAATAAACGAAAAAATTGAACTTTTCTGTCTTCTGGGTCTCTGCTCTTTGTTGTGATCAGTGATTGTCCTCTATATTGAGACTATGATTATTATTCCTTATAAAGAGACAATTATTATTCTCTTACTGATAAATTCAAACACTGGGGCAAAAAAAAAAATGCATAGGAGGAATGCAGTAGGCCAATCTCAATAGTTTCAGGATGCTTCAATGCAGCATGCAGTTACATTACCAGAAAGATGCACATCAAATTATGGCGGATGTTACATTGTGGGTTTTCAGAGGGATCTTCGGTTATATCACACGTACGAAAGTATAAAGCCCCTGTAAGCCACTCATTGAAATTGGGGTGAAACACAGCTAAACCTCAGTTACCCACAGTGTTGGTGATTTGAACCACACTTTGGAGCAGTGCTTCCAAAGATCTGCAATTTATAAGCTTGACACAGCGTCAGTATCGAGCGTCCATCTCTAGGCACAGGGAAGGAGCAGGTGTAGTGAAAAGAAGACGAAATGCAGCTGAGACGAGGGGCAGCAAAAGCAGACTCAAATAATCAGATACAGGGTTGAGACTGAAACACAGGAGGTGAGACAACATCTGTCGTCTGAGCTGCTGACTGGAAGTGCTGTGGAAGAAAACATGATCCCATGATGTAGAGAGCTAATGCAGCAGTACCTCAGGCCGTTGACGATGTCCTTGGTCTTCCCAAAGTAGATTTCATTCAGTGTGGAGCGGATCTTATTCTCCATATCCTAGAAAAACAATATGAATGCATTATAACTGCTAGTTCTATTCTTCTATTTGATTCTTAAAAGCTTGACTTCGTGAACATGGAGTTGTGTGACAGCGATGTAAAGTATGACAGGTTTTGTAATGTCCTGTGTAGCGAAGAGATTTTCCTCTGCTGAATGTGAAAAAACAGTAAATCAAGAGTGAAGAATGAAGCACTCACCACCACTGTGACTGTGGCTTACTGTCTATGATGCATGTTAAGGATTTTACTTGTGAACTGCTTATGCAAAAAAAAAAAAAAAAGTCCCCAAAAATATTCCCGCAGAACCTGTTACATGCAAATATACAAAGATATCACAATCGAGATGTCACGAAACTGAAACTGAATCTTATCCATCAACACTACAAAATTTCACACAGCTGCAACAAAGCCATGGCCATTTCAAACCACTTTTTACACTTGTACTCCCTGTATATGCACCCAACACAGGACTCCTATGATTCACTTTCTATCAGCAATGTGAAGTAGCACTGTGGTATGCTAATGCAAAGGCTTCCTCTTAGTCGGTTTCATAACCACTTTTGCGCCGTTTTAAGTCTTTACTTGAACAGCAGTAAGACTGGCAATTGCAAAAAGAGGCATTGCAAGAGAGCAAAACACAAGTAAGCTGCTGGATTAGCTTGTTTATCACATGACTTTTGAAGTCATGCAGAGTCCTGCATAGGAGACTGATTCAGGAGAAACACACTGCAGTCATTTTACGGCTTTTAGCAGTATCGCTGCTTCAGACAAGGAGAGGGAAGGAAATTAAGTCGACGGTTTTACTGACTTCAACGAGGCGGCCGATGTTAGCGATGTGGGGTGAGGACTCTCCAACCGTCTCGTCTTTCTCCATCTGTTTAAAAAACGGAGAAAAAAAGAGATACCACGTTCAGTTAATTAATTCATCCCTATACCATGAGAGGACCAATCAGCCGTTTAGTTCAACACGCTACCTGTCTTGTAAGGCTGCCGCCGAGGTTCATGGTACCGGAGCCAGTTTTCGTTGTCTGGAGCCACAGCATGACAGTGGAGGTGAGTTTGTAGTGAGCGGTACGGCCACTGGACTTCTCCTGTTTGCAAAAACAGAGGCAACAAGCAATTATGCAAAACATGACAACATGTTACCATCCAGAAAAGATAATGGTGCATGTTTGTGAAGCTCTGCTGTGCGTGTGGCACATGGAGCTGAGCGAGGAAAGACAACTACTCGAGCTGCTGTCAACCCGGTCCATTACCGTAAGTGCACTAAAAGCTTAGTTTTAACCCTAAACTCCAGACAGTCATGCAAAAGCATCTTCAATCTGGCAACAGTGTCCTGGATGCTAGAAGCTCTCCTGGCTGACAATGGTACAGCTGCTAAATATCAAACAAGCCTGTAAAATATCAAACAGCTTCATTCATCTGCTTCTCACCTGCACCTCCACCACATGAATGGAGTCCCAGCACCCTTTGATCTTCTTGGATCCATCTCCAGCCTTCTTAATGAGAATAACTCCTGCAAAGCCGTGATCCAAATCCCAGAGGTACACGGAGGAAACCCCACCTTCAAAGTACCTGAATAACACAGACATCAGATGTCACAAGAGGCTGAAACTGACAGGTTATCAAACACTCCACATTAGATTTCTTCTCTGGCACTTACAGGTCTCTGTACTGATCGAAGGCATTGTTTGCCTCAACCTCGAGTTTCCTCAGGCGGGCTGAAGGCATTGCACCGTCTTCAATGGGAGGTTCATACTTATTACTCCACGGGGATCTGAGGAATGAAACATTCAGATTTTAGACAGAGGTATATATTAAATTTAGCTGTTAGAAACATACTTGTGATACTAGTGTTTAAAAGTGAAAACGGTGACCTGCTTGAAGTGAAACCTTAAGCTTGCATTACACAAGCAAAGGTCCAAACATCAAAGGAGGTTAAGTTCACGGTCCTCATATAGGTGAAGCATAAGTTAAAGTATGAAGACATTTTTTTAAAAATTCATTTTATACTTAATTTGATCTTTCTCTCAATGCCCATGATACCGTCATGAACCTCTATCAAATGGGTTGCTGTTACATTGACTTTACATGGTGCAAATTTGTCAAATATTTTGAAAAAATTATAATAAATCAGGTTTAATTCTTGAATTTTTATGTATTAAGCTTTAAATCTAAAACAGAGCTAAATAATGTGCTGGTTTTATTACGATTTTTTTATTAAGACAAACTGAAAAATGTGCGTTCTTGGAAACGTGGACATTTTGTTGCCTTTTAGCGTGACAGACAAAAACTGAAATTTCATTTGTTCTACCTCAGCACTATACTGATTATAACAGACACTGCCTGGCAAAAACAAAACATCAGAACCCAGAGATACCTGAGCAAATGGATAAGAGCCTTGGGAAGAGAGAGGCTCAGGGTGGATGGGAAATAATTTTCATGTGTGGATTGGCCACCACAGAGTCCAGACTTTAACCCCACTGAGAATATTTTGGTTGTGGTAGAGACGATTTTACGCAGTAGTCTGACTCTTCCACCATGATCAAAAGATCTTGGTGAAGAAATGAATGAAACTCTGGATAGAAATATCTTCTGACATTGCTTAAGCTCAACAATCACAGCGAACTTGTGCCACCATTAAAGCTAAAGGCAGCCCAACAAAATATCCCCATTTTTACCCCACAGTCTGCAGCGTATGTTCCTTTGAGTGGGCTAAAATCCAGCTATGACCGCTACCTGTAGGAGTCGCCGTCTCTGTTGTAATCACAGAGCAGATAGTCTTTCCCCACCACTTTGTCTCGTGCGATCTTTAGGGGCTGGTCCACAGAGGAGAGGAGGTCCTCACACAGACTGGGCACCTGGATGCAAACATGGGGAGAAAAAGCTCAGTACATGACCACAGATGATTAATTACAGCAGCTGCAGAGCATCTAAACCCCTCAAACATTTCATAAAGTCTGTTCCGTATGACGTGAGAGTACTCAAGAGACATGAAAGGGTGTTTTGGTAAAATTAGCCTTCCTAGAACAGATACCAGCTTGGAGAGAAGAAAAAAAAAAAATCACTGATACGTGGAGGAACAGTCTAACAAAACACAGAGGATCACGTCATGTGATCTTCTCATTGTAGATGAAAACATACTTTTAAGTTCTCATCTTTCGCTCACATTCCAGTTTCACCCCATAAGCAGAGGTTACTGAGAGGAGACGGAATAAAATATCATTGGGAAACATAATATCTGCAGGATAAGGGGGTACAAATTAGTTCTCACAGACTGACATGGAGTCCCTTTGCTATGCGTTCCTGCATCAGCGCATAGACACAAAGGAGCGCCTGTTACCCAGGCCAAAAAAAAAAGCCCCATACCCCTGAACAAACACACACACACAAACACACGCACGCACGCACACACACCTGGCAGCCTAGACTGGCTGAGACAAGCCAAACAAGGGTGGACAAAATCCAGTGGGAAGAGCATGTAGTGGTGAGAGTGGGGGGTGGTCAGAGAGGAGAAGAGGAGGCGGAAAGAGAGAGGTGATTTCAGATGATTACGTGGAAGAGCTGGCGAAGGGACTGAGCCTAAAGGTGCCTGGCAGCAGAAGTGATGGACAGCTGTGATAATAATCACTAACAACCAGCCACAGTGGTCATAGGGTAAGGAAAGAACAGATGTCCGGGTGGGTGGGGGAGAAGGGTTAAAGGTGAGAGAAGAGGAAGTTGAGCAGGTGGGGAGTCTGGCTGAAAGGGTACGGATATACCCACAAAAATAAGGTGCAATGCAAACAGAGGCACAAGTGTGATTTGATTTGTGTCCAGTTATAACCTGTCAGCTTTAGCTGAGACTGTTGTTAAAATGCGCCGAGTAACTCGACCAACTTCAAATACAGAAAACTACAGGGGGGGGAAGTAATAACTATCACACAAGCAGAAGTTTTTCCTCTTTGGTGTGGCTACTTCCACTCTGAACAAATATGATTAAACCCTTTTTAAAATGCTGAAAATAGTATCAGTTACCCAGATAATACAGTGGTGTGCAGCAAAACTCACTTGTATAATATGAAAATAAATACCACATATAGAGATATGCAAATACTTTAAGACATGCGATTATTTGAAAGACCTTTTCCCAAATCAGACCGACTGACATTTTATGGTAGCTTGATAAAACAAATCCATAATAAATTGTTATTAGCACATTACTAATACTACTATTTATATTCACCAGCCATTTTATTAGGCATAGCCTGGGTTGGACCCTCTTTTGCCTTCCGAAGTCCTTTAATACTTCGTGGCAGAGATTCAACAAGGTGCTGGAAACATATCCTCAGAGATTTTCATCCATACTGACACAACAGCAGTTGACGTGATAGGTGCTGCTTATTTCTTGTGTGTATGTCCATGATGCAAATCTCCTTTTCCACCACATCCCATAGCTGCTCTATTCTTGGACTGAGATCTGATGACTGCAGAGGCCATTTGAATACAGAGCACTCATTGTTATGTTGAAGAAACCAGTCTGAGATGATCTGAGCTCAGTTCCATGGTGTTCTATGTAGCTGGAAGCAGCCATGAGACGATGGGTAAAATGTGGTTATGAAAGGATGGACAAGGTTGGACAGGAAAAATTCTCAGTTAGGCTGTAATTTAAACAACGATCAGTTGGTACAAAGGGGCCTTAAATATGCCAAGATAAACCCCCACACTATTACACCACCACCGACAGCCTGAACTGTTGATACAATGCAGCAAGGGTCCAAGCTTTTATGTTGTTGCAGGAAGTCTGACCCTAACATCTGAATGTTGAAGCAGAAATCAACATTCTTCAGAGCAAGAAATGTTTATCTAGTCTTGTATTGTTAAACTTTGGTGAGCCTGTGTGAACTGTAGCCTCAGTTTCCTGTTCTTAGCTGACAATTAGCACCCAGTGTGGTCTTCTGCTGCTGTAGGTTAAAAAAAAAACAAACAAAAAAAAAACAAACAAAAAAAAAAACATTACACACACCACACACACACAAAAATAAATAAATAAATCAGAGCTCCTCTGCAAACCTTTGTTGTAATGAGTAGCTATTTAAGTTCCTAAAGCAGTCTCTTCTCTGATGACTGGAATCAACAAAGTGTCCGTGTAAATAGCTGCTTAGACAGCTGCGTTAACAGGCAGTTGTGGTGTACCTAACAAATTATTCAACCTTAGAAGTAAAAGTTATCTAAAGTTTAATAAGTGACTTGTCCATTCATGGGAAATTTTTAGACTAAATACAGAGACACTCTGGAGAAGAACAGATTTCACTCTCAGTTGTGAATCAGACAGTAACTCACCAGGTCAATGAGGTCACTGAGGTTCTTCTCGATCTGCTGAGGAGGCAGACGCCTCATCAGGTCCAGAGCACAATCCAGCTGCTGGTCATTCTGAAAAACAACCAGCAGAGACAACGGCTTACTGCACTGTAACATTAGATCACAGTTAAAAAATGAATTCAAAACAAAATGTTTGTGCTATAGAGAATAAACAAGACACAGATTGTGTGGGGTTTTTTTAACATTAAACTAACATTGGTGGTCTGCGGGCTTCTCTTGGTCACCACTGAAGAGAGCTAAGTTGTTCCACGAAACTGAAGTGAAACTGAGTGTTAAAACTATGAAAAGTGTCCACTGCAGCGACCGTCTGTACTGCTCATGACGTAGTTTTTCATCGCCTAGATTTCTGCACTCTCTTTTCGAGCGGAGCTCTGCTGTCACTCTTCCCCCTTCTGGCCGACTTTTCAACTAATCTGACCAACGCAAAGCATCATCAGTGCCAAACTAACTGCTGGTTTCTTCAAGGACTGCATCCAAGCATGTTACGTTTCTGCATGTTGCAGATTTGGTACTGTAAGTTCACCACAGCTAACCTTTTACATTTGTTTATTTATAAGGAACCCCATTAGCTTCCACAACAGTGGTTGCTAGTCTTCCTGGGGCCCAAACCAAGTGAAAGGACATTTACAGTATTTGTCTTTTTCTGTGCCAAAAGCACAGCTACTAACAGTTAAAGAGGAAAACTTAGATTTTACAGGCAGTGCTGACTGGAAGGATCACCTGAACTCTTCCTGTAACTTCATCTCTTCCCACAGACACCGAGGCAAGTTTCCAAAGAATTCCTGACATGGTCTTTGTTTTCTGGATGATACACTTTAGCAGCCTGTGTTAACCAAAGTCCGCGGGTTTGTAACACAGAATTTCTTTGAAGGAAATAAACTTAAAAAAAAAAAACCCCAAAAAAACCCAACATACTCAATCTGTCATCTTAAGATCAGCTAACACCTCTTCATGCACTGCAGATTCATCTCAATAATATATTCACGAGAATGGGTTTCTGAATGTCCAACAATGGCGTGCAGGGATGACACATTGCTCCAAAAGCAGATGCTCATGTTAAATAGGGCCAACAAATTATTCAGGGGCCAAAAGGTCAAAAGGCTATTCTTAAGAAGAGAATAGCATTGTCTTAAAGCACACAGCCTCCATTCATCTGCTGTTAAATCCTTCTGTTTGTGGGGGACAGCCAATCAGAAGAAAGTGAGATGAGCCAAAACAGGTAAATGGCGAATACAAGTCTAATATTGGGGGTTGGGGGAAAAAAGCAGGTTCCATTTAATAAAGAAATGCTCTGCTGTGGTAATTAAAATGTTACTTAAAAAAATGAATCAGCTCTGCAAACTTACAGAGACTCACATTAACTGAGTAGCTGTATTACGCAGAGAAGTATAAATACGCACCCTCATGCTTGAGTAAACAAAGCAACCACACTGTACCCTCATCAGTGTCTCCACCACAGCACGGTAATAAAAGTCCTGCTACATTCTGTACATGGGTACGACTGCAGTTGCCGTGCAGGAAACCCTCACACCCTTGCAGGAAAACCTTTTACCACACTGCTAGAATACAGACACACAACTTTCCAGCTCAGTAGACTGAACATCTCTCATGATTTGTCATGTGAGCACCTTGCAGAGAGTTGTGAAAAGAAAAGCTTCATTTAGGGTTAGGGGTTATAGTTACAGCACCTCAGTGCACAAGCTTGAAAGTTATCTAGGCTGTGTGGTGGTTCAAGGGTTCGTGTTTGGTTGATTAGTTTCATGTAGGAACAAAGGAGGGGAAGCCTGGTTAAAGAATCATCATCATGGGGCAACAGGAAGTGTGGTAGGGTAGCATTTAAAGGTCAGGTCCACCCTTATCATTCGAGTCAAACTTTTACTTTAGGGTTTAGGTAAAGAGACAGTGCAGTACAGTTTTTATTTGGAATTAACTGCTTACGGGTAATTCAGTTTTTAAGACTCAGCTGTTTACTATACATCTTATGTAGGAACTTCTCCGCTTCTGCAGACTGGGATGTGTTGGGAGACCAAAGGTAAAGCTAGCTGCTTGGACTTTGAATTTGGCCACAGATGAAACTTTCACACATTCAAGTTCTGGCAGGACAGAAACTTTCTAATCCAGTTCCTGCCACACACATACAGATATTCAATGACAAAATCCCTCCCCACCCACCTCCAAACGACCATTATCAACTTTGTCTGAATCACACAAGCTGACAGATTTATGCGACAATAAAATAAGGTGAACAATCGAAGCCTTGAAAATCCTGCACTGATGAAGCCGTCGTGATCAAAGGATCTTCATCTTTTCGCCTGATAAGCGTACAACTACGCTTTGCATCTACACTTCTTCCAAACTCCTAAGGTTTTCTCTTTTCCCCAACCTTGTAATTGGAACCTTTGATTAAGTACTGCAGAGTGAGCCTGCGATGCAATCAATCCCCCACCAAGCTGAGTCAGACAGATGCCTCTCATCTCTCTGTCAATCTGGCTTGTAAGACGATGGCTACAACTTCACAGTAAGGTTAAATCAATACACAGCCTAAAGGTACATTTAGTAGAATGATCAAAAACAGTGCACAGTAGCCATTATCTGCAGAACCAAAGGCACCAAAATAAATTTAGTGTCTTTACTACAGTCCGAACTGAAGTGGACTCATTTCGACTACAGTGTGAAGCAGCAGATCCAGTTGTATTAGCAATAACACATGTTGTTACCTTTATATGTTCCTTTAAAAAAGAAAAGAAAACAATGAAACCTGAAACAGCATCTTGGTCGTGCATCAGGTTTAGGATTAGGGAAATGGAAACCACTACAGTTATCTTTCACCAAGCAAACCATTCAGAACTAAATTAAGAACATGGTGATAACCACAGAGCACTGACATAACATAGCTTTTACCCCCAGGGGGTTTTCTGCCTTAACTATGCAGCGAACAGCAGGATGTTGGAGAAGAGCAGTGGATGGACCGGCCACAACATGAAACTCTGGGGAATGTGCCGGAAATTTTTTTTTAAGTGTGTGATAATAAAAAGGACCAAACATGTTTTTCAAGCTTCTCCATAGAAGGTACTGGCTTTGTCGCAAACACTTCCAGCCTGGCTTTATCAGACAATGATCAATGTTTTGACTGCCACTCAGCAATCTAGCTAAACATGTTTCATAATGCCTACTTAAAATCCATTAACATATATGGATTTACTTTACAATTCCTCGATCCTGACATCCATTACAAACAAAAACGTGCTTATGATATGTGTTTGGCGGCCAGAAAACACTGAACATGAAGCGAAAGAGGCTTCTAGAGGTGAGACAATCTAATATCACCACTCAAGTAAAGCCTTAAGAGAGTAAACCTAATAATCCATTACTCATTGCTCCTCAATCCATCCATAAATATTTTTCCTTAAGGTCGACCCGAACGTAACAGAATTTTTTAACGCAGATTTTCCCAGGCCACTTTGTCTCCTCCGAGATGATTTCTGCCTCGTTTCACGTTTCTCTCAACTGAAGGTTCCATCAGACACCTGTGCTTCTTGACACTGTGTTTAACAGCGCTCCTGTCTCCATGTAAACACTAGCTCAGACCAACAAGCCTCAGGGTCAGGGGGGAACGGCGAGGCTGGGCCCGGCAGGATGGATGAGGTGAGGAAGAGGAGAGTAGGCGACTGTGGAAGAAAAACAGCTGCTGTTCCCATTTTTCGAATGCTTTTATAAACAGTGTAAGACAGAGCAAGCCCATTTTATAAGTGGTCAAGTCAAGCATATATATATATATATATATATATATATATATGATAAGCACAAATACGGGTCCAGTTAAAGCAAGCCTACTGCTATATGGGCTGAAAACGTAGGAGAATGAGCCAAAATAAGGAATAAGTAAACAGTGAGTGCTGTGTTGGTATGGATTGTTTGGACTGGGTGTAATAGCCTCATCCAGAGAAACCATTAGCTCAGTCAAGATCAAACTTATAAGGCTGGGAAAATCAGGCTGACAGCTTGTCATGGTTAGAAATAGGAGGAGCGAGCGGTCTTATTTTAGCTACAGGCATCCCGGCGCTTGGCTATTTTAGCCTGTGTGTAAGTGTATGTGCACAGGCGTGTGTGCGTGTGTCAGTGTGTTATATTAGGACCCTTCGCCATTACTATTAACCAACTTGTGTTAAATCCAAAACATCCTGTGCTAACTTTATGCCTACGGGGCATGTAGCCCGGCTAGCTATGAGCTAACTAGCAGGAAGAAACAGCAGCTAGCTTAACCACGAAGCTAATTCATTCTCATCCGGTAGTTCAGCGCAAGTTTTGCCAGCAGTGCAAGTTAAATATGCGTCGATGATTTATATCATCTGCTGCTCCTCTCCGGTTACTACCGTGCGCCTCTAGCCAGCGCTAGCTTAGCTTAGCACCCCCCTCCCTCCAGTTAGCAGCCCCGTCCCCATCTCTCCCAGCAGCCTGAACGCGGCCCTTACCATGTCTGCGGCGGTCTCAGCTGGGCAGGAGAGAGCACGACTTCACCGATGAGTGTACACCCTAACTTTACTATGGTTTAACAGGTCGCTCCTTTTGTCTCTTGTTGCTTTGATGTTTTTTGAGAGCCGTGATGAAGATGTTTTGTTCGCGTCTCCCTCTCTGAACCCAGCCCTGTCAGCGAAATTCACTTCCTCAACCGGGCTACAGGAAGGAGGCTGCAGTCACAAAAACAGGCCCCGGTTGCATGTCCGGGTCACTCTGGCCTTTCTCTGCAGCAGCCAATAGCGAAGGAGCAAGAAAGGCATTGCCAAGTATGGAAAGAGAGGAGTGGTGTAGTAAATGTGCTGTCAGAGATGGCAGCAGAGGGGGAGTTAAAAAATAAACCCCCAAAACACGGAGACTGCAGGCGGCGGCAAGTTTAACGTATACAGTGTCTCATGAACAAGAAAGCAGATCTTAATTTCTATTTTTCTGTGAGTTATTATGAACTACTTTCTCACTTTTATTTTTGTGCAATTAATCTTAAGTGGTAAGAGCAATTTTATATGTTTTTAAATTAAGTTATATCTTTAAATATTTAATAGTAGTTATTATAAAATAAAATCACTCATAACTTGTTTTTGTTTTCATGTCATTTGTCTTATTTTATTGCCCTTTGTTCAGTTTAATATAATCTGAATGTTTCTTCAAGTGCATGATAGTGATGGAAGTTAATATATATCTATATGTATGGTAATCGGTTAGTTATTAATGCTAAGGGCACTGCTGTAAAGGCAAGCTGATCACCTTTGATAATTATTACTTGTAATACTGAGAGTTACCGTACTATGCAGAAGTCTCGAGCCACCCATAATTTCTCTATATTTTGCTGGGAAAATTAAAAATATATGCAGCTATTCATTGAAACTGAGTTTCAGCTTATATACTGATACAGTATATAAGGCAAAAACTGAGTTTGTGCTCTTCTGACGAGCTTGAAAGTCAATATTTGGTATGACCAACTTTATATTTCAGCACAGTCTGAACTCTCTTAGGCAAGCTTTCTTGTTATTTCTTTAAGCAGTCTTCAGGGATAGTTCTCGGGGCTTCTTGAAGGACATTCAACTCAGTGTGTTTGGAGTAATTGTCATACAGAAAAGTATATACTGTATATACTCACAACAGCCTGAACCCAAAATTTCAAATTTGGATTTATCACCCCTTCAGACCTACTGCCACTGATTTTCAGTCCAGTTCTTGTATAATTAGTCACACTGCAACCCTTTGTCCCTGTTTCCCTTCCTTAAGACTGACTTCTTGATAGCCACGCTTCCACTAAGACCATTTCTGATGAGGCTTCAGTGAACAGTAGATGGATCCAGTGAAGGGCCAGACGCATCGCTCTTATTTCTTTTTTGTTTTTGTTTCTTTATGTGTGACAAGCTGCTAGCAACAAAGTGCCTAAAGATGTAATTTAAAATCAGTACTTTGCTAAGTTGTCTGTTGTCTGTAGACACAATACTGGTTCGTCCCAGTGTTGTGTCTTCGGAATCATTCAAGCATAAGAGTCCTTCCCTTATGCTTGACTGATTCATAGGTCAGTGATAAGTGGCTTAACAAAGAAAATAAACATCACCCTGAAAAAACTAGACTGAAAATGAGCGAAAAAGCAGCCAGTGTCCAAAGAAAAACTTTGAAAGACCTTCAGAAAGCCTGGAGAGCTATTGGTCAAGAACACTAAAAAATGTATAAGAAAGTCTGTGTCTCCAAGGAAACAAAATATAAAGAAACCGGGGGCGGGTCAAGACTTTTGCGTATAATGACATTATGCCAACTAGGTTCTCCCCCTAGAAAGAAGCTGCGTACATCCTATTTTGTTTGCAAATTAGAAACCTGCCTGCAAACTTCACTAACATCTGTATATTACTGAGTGTTTGGAACAGCTCCACTTCCAGCATAAACAATCAGTGTTACACACAGGGTGTTTCTGAGAAAATAAAATAAGAAAAAAGGCTAAATTCTTACTTAACACATAGCATATTTAATCACACGGGCAACCAATTTCAGTGGCAACTTTGTTTATTTCTTTTAATTGTGGTTGCATTAAACTGAAAACCCTGGCCTGCACACATCTGATGTGCAACACTTTGTGAATGCATGCAGAATTTCCTGCACACATATGCGTTTGGGCGAGATGACTAATCAACTAATCAAAGTGGAAGTTTTAAGGTAAGGTCAAATATAACCCAGAAAAAATGTCTTCATCATTTACAGATGTCTCAGTGATTACTCAGAGGTTAATAATTTGGACTGTTTACATCATAGCAAATATGCTGCAACATGAAGCCGGATACAAACTCTTAGTAACATTTTCTCAAATACAGTGTTTGTGTCTAACTGAATGATTAAGAAATCAAAAAGTCAAAGGTCAAATGTAGTTATGTAGCACTTTTGAAACAACAGAGCTGATCAAAGTGCTGCACTTTAAAAGTATATAGTATTTATATAGATAAACTACAATAATATCCATAAAATTTGAGCACAATACCCAACATTAAAAGACAATAGAATAAAAAATAATAATAAATTGCATTTGTCTAAAAGAATGTCACACTGGAGCCCAACGCCAAGGAGAACAAATGCATTTCTAATAACAACTTAAATGTGTTTACTGTCTGAGCTGTGTGGATTTTGAGAGGTATTGTATAGACCTGGTGCTGTTGCTGCAAAAGCTCGATCACCTCTCTGTTTTAAGTTTGCATAGGAGGAACTGGTTAGACGACGTCTGAGCTCTAATAATTGTGTGAATGTGAAGCAGCTCTGACAGATACAAAGATGCCAGTCCATTTAAAGCTTTAAATGTGAGTAATAAAATATAAAAATCAATTCCAATGAAGGGAGCCAATGAAGAAATGGCAGGCCCAGTGTGCTGGGTTCAAGTTTTTTAATACCAGTATAAGGTGAGCTGGTGAATTCTGGACTAACTGAAGGATATATGATTGTTGTATACCAAAATCCAGGGAATTACAGTAGTCCAGGCGGGAAGTGATTAAAAAGCACGAATAACTTTTTCCAGGTCCTTCTGTGGGAGATAAGGCTTTACCTCAGGCATGAAGCTAACTTTAGTGACAGCCCTTATTGTAGATCAATTAATAAAACAAAACAAAAACCACGCCAAGTAATTACAATTTAAAGTTGTAATTTTAATTTCATAAAAGCTAAAAAGAAGAAAACGCATGAAAAGATAAAGGAAAGTGAATGGCAAAAGCCGGAATACTGACGTGTTATTACCGGACAACACATACACTGAAGGAGCCGTGAAGGAATGAGTCATGTGACTTCATGCTTTTCTCGCGAGATCTTCCTGACTGCAGAAAACATGGCAGACGAACACGCGCGGAAGTGGGACCGCTGCCTTGCTGACACAGCGGTGAAAACAGGTTAATTTCTTTTTATACACGCAGTGTAATTGTTTGCTGCTCTTATTAAACACTTGGCTGTGTGTGAAACCTGGAGAATAAGGCGCACTACAGGTCAGAGCCGAGCGAGAAGTCATTTTAGCTGGACCTTAGTGTGACACTAAGGTCAAAGTTGTCTGCTGTACAGATGAAACTTAATATTTGTTAACTCTGTAGTATTATATCATAAAAAAGCAGACATAGCCACGAGGTGGAAGTTATTACCTGTGTTTGAGTGGGAAAGTGTGCGAAGTCACGCCCTAAAGCAGATTAATTTATCTGTTTTTGGACTCTCTTGATCTACCTGCCCTTTCTCCACTACTTGCAGCCTTAATCAGTATCTTACAGCGATTATAAGGACCGAATAATTTATTTTAGTTATAAAACCAAGCAATGTCTGCAGTTGCAGAAGGGATATACAAACTAATAAAAACTAATAAAAATGTTTTAAATGAAATGAAAACAACCTAAAACAATTCTGCGAACCTGGGAAATAACTAACTAAAAGAAAACAAAACAAAAACGAAGCGGCAATATCCTTATTTATATTACTTGTTAGTTTACTTAAAACTTCTCACAGCTTTCCTGACGAGGCTTTGATGGATCAGTTTATTGAGACTCTGGGTGTCTACAACACTGTCAGTCAACAACTTACAGAAAGTGTATTTTTTTATGTAATTCCTGCACTGATTTTCTGCTATACACTAATAATAATTTTTTTAATTCAATTAAAAAAAATAACAGGAAAAATAATAAAAACAAAACTGACACAAGAAAGCCTGCTCTGGAAACTGAGAGTAAACTTAAAGAAAAAACAAAAGGACATTTTTAAAAAGAACCTGTTAAAATACCAAGTTTTTTTTATGGTCATTCTGTCAGATAACAACCAAATAACAATTTTGTTTGGTTTATTTGGTTTTGTAAATGCTAGTTAACAATCTATCAGTGTCTTTTTTTTCACACCTTAAATATCTATTTATATGACAATAACATAGTTGTTTATCACAGTTAATCTAAGTACAGGTTTGTGACATCAGTGTCTGTATACAAACATTTAAAGTTGTAATCTGTAGGGAGCAGATAACATTTATTTTTTGTATATACGTTTGATATAAATCTTAATATGAACACCTCATTTCTTTGCCTCTGTGTTTTTTGCATGTACACCTGGTTTATTGCACTGCTGTTTTTTGTTTGTTTTTTATTTTTCCGTTGTGGAGGTCAGGCTATATGGGCTCTGTTCTATTTATTTATTTTTTAATTTATTTTCTCCGCTGCTTTGCTAAGACTACTGTAATCTGCGCTTTACGTCAGGCTCGCTGAAAAGAAGAGGTGTAGTCAGGTGACCTTTGAACTAGTTTTACTGGTTTTTATTCATTTTTTGAACTTGAATCTTTATTCACACCAGGCATTCATTTGGCAGTTAAAGTTTACGCAAAAATCAAAAACAGATGTTTTAAGAATTTCATATTTGTAGTGTAAAGATGTTTGTAAAGATTTTTTTTTTCATTTTTCTTTTTTTGAACGAAGAAAAATGTTGGCATGCAGTTCAGAGTAAAAAGGGGGAAAAGTCTCATTTTTAGTTCACTGTTTTGCGAGCTAATTGTTAAAACAATTTTATGTAATTTTGTTTAATATTATTTATTTTAATTAGATAAATTTAGCCCATTATTAGCAGGAAGTGAAGCACTGAGAGAAGAGCGTGAATGAGCAAGTCTTTCTTCTACTTGTTGACTTAACAAAAGCTTCATTTTTCACCATTATCTCTTTGATATTTAATATCCATAAATGTCATGGCAAAATAACAATACACAGTATTGAACAGTTTGCA